TCAAGATTTTCTGGGCCCTTTCACCTGACAGGCCTGTATTGGCAATTCTGATTCATCTCCCTCATCTTCGCTTCTCAACAGTTTGTTAAAGGTCTTGGCTATTTTGGCAAATCCCTCCACAAACTTAAATAAGTTCAGAACCCCAGGAACCTCAGTTTATCCATACTGGAGAATGCAATTGTCACAGGCGGTTACACGTTCCAATTTCTTAGGGTCAATGGTCACTCCCTTAGCTGAGATGACAGCCTAAGATAGATGACAGAAGGCTAAGAAAACTGACACTTTTCAAGAGACAGCGTCAACCCCTCTTGGTGTGTTCCTTTAAAGTGTTTAAACATGTCTGCATTGTGCAGATTCATAGAAAATATTTTGAAACTCATTAAATTTATCTGTTGTAATAAAATGTTCATTCAGCCAGGAACCAGTGAATTTCATTGTATATGTTCCTCAGTCCCCTTGTACCAAAGCATCTTGTGTCTCTTCTCTACATCTGCTGGAATAAGCACTTGAGTCAGCATTGTTCAGCCAAATACGAAGAACAGCAAGAAATTACTTTTATGATGTTACATTAAAGAAAATATGCAACAAATAGTCTACTGAGAATTTTATAACTGCTAGACACACATTCACACACTTACACATACACACATACAGTATATATGTACACGCATACAGTAAATATAATCAGACATATAGTACACATAGATTGTATTGTAATCAGAGACTACTGTGCCAAGAGGCTGCCATGATAAAGGCTGTCATGTTGCAAAAGACTAACATGCTTGAGAAACCACAGCCCAAGAGACTGCCAGGATGCAGAGATTGTCATGTTGCCATAGACTACAGCCCCAGGGGAGCGCCAAGATACAGAAATTGTGATGCTACCAGAGATTACAGCCACAGGAAACTGCCAGGATATAGAGACTGGCATGCCACCAGAGATTGATGCCACAAGAGATTACCAAGTTACAGAGACAATAATGCTAGCAAACACTGCCTTCACAAGAGACTGTCAGGATATACTGCCACACTACCATTGACTGCAGTCAAATCTTTTTAGGTTTGATTCACAGGGGGTTTGCCAAATACTGCTTGAAGCCAACTAACCCTTAGCTGCAAACTCCCTTGAAGGCTATAGAGGCAAATAGTTGTACAATATTCTGACCTTTTTATAGGCTAGGAATCTTGGTACAGCCATAAGGGACATTCAACAAAGCAAAAAAAACAGTTGGGGAAGAGTCCTTTTAAGGAGATTTTGAGGACCATGTGGAAAAAAACTTCAGTCTTTTAAATGATGTGCTTGGGAGATGCCTTTAAGCTGTATATGGTGTTACGGAACAGTACAGTTTTTATGGACTGCAACAATGACGTGTTCCGGCATCACATGATTTGGATGTATCTTGGCTTAAATACAGCAGCAGCACTCTAAATGGTTAATTTCAACTTGAAAAAATGTATTTTAGGTGGTTTTTGCTGTGAGACCTGATGAGATGAGAAGTTTGAACTGACAGGTGAAGGTCGCAGCCTCAACATATCTAAAAGCTAAGCTAAAGGAAAGCTATCAACATCTCACAATTTGGCCAGTTTTTTTTTTCTATAACATTACTGCATTGTCTTAAAATATAATCAAATATCAAATAAGAGTGAAAGTGTGGAATTGTGGTTTTTAAGTATTTTTGTGCAAACTACCTCCCACCCCCCTATCACTGATTGCTCACAAAATATTAAAAATAAAGGCTTCAGGTATGTGGTAAAAATTGGCTAGTGTCTAGATAGTAAGCAAGAACTTGAATAAGCAGCAATTTAAAAAGGCAAAGCAGACTTTATCTTGCAATACAAATTACATTGTATTATATGAGGGGCAATAGCCACAAAATGTCAGGACAAGGATCTGAACCCATGACCTCTGCTGCATGCGGCAGTGGCTCTTCTTGCTGAGCTAGCTACCTTGGGTGCTGAACAGCTCCCTTCCTGAATCCTTGGACAACCTTGTCTTGTGTATTTTATCTCTTGAAATTTGAACCTTTGCTCCTCCGATCAACTTCCTATTTAAGCCTTGTTTTTGCACAGCCTGTTTGCCTGATTATTGTGCTCTCTCCAGCTGATAACTTGTTCCTTTGCATACCAGCAGCTGTCCTTATCTCCACTACTACTCCTTACCGACCTTGGGTTATTCCTTGAATACACTTCCACACACTCCCAACCTGCAACCATTCTTTTTCTGTGGGGCCGCATATATACGTTTCTCCTTTTGTGCTGGGAGCGCACCACACACCGAGAGCCCTGGGTCTTGTACTAATGATCAGGACCTGGGATTCCAGGTTTTGGGTCACCTGATCGCTATGATAGTCTCTGATTGGTTATCACAGTGATCAGTCACTGTGAGCCCACTCCTGTGTTTACTTCTTCTGAATGGAGAGGAAAGTATTTTATATCTTCCTCTCTTTGCAGGAGATGAAGCTGCAGTGTAGAAAAAAGGAGTGTAAAATAAATAAATAATAAAAGAATAAAAAATAAAGAAACAAATAACAAGGTTGAGGTCAAAGGTTATGGTCAGCATATTTTTCAGCACAGTTTTTTTGTAATTAGTATCAGTGTCAGTTAGTGCCAGTTTTAGCAGGGGAAAAAATGCAAAATGTGCACCATTGTTACGCCAAGGTATAATCCCCCTGGATACACAAAGTAGTTGTGACGATATGTACAGTTTTACTAATAAATGTCAAAGGTGCAAAATTGTGCTTAGGCATTAACATTTGTTTTACCCTCAGGTGGGAAGGGGTTAGGGTTCCTGTCTGCTTCAGGGTGCAGTAAAGAGTCAGCAGCAGTGTCTCAGCAAAAAGCCAGTCCAGTCCTCAGACAGTGTGCACTGCTCCACTTACCAGCTCACAGACACTTGTTGACTGCTTCCTTGCCTTTTCAGCCAGATACTAGTCCCAAAAAAGATTTTTGGATGTACAGATCTGTACACAAAAGGCATTGTACATAAGAAAATGTGCCCCGAACCTTCAATTGAAAGAACTCAAGCATAGATTATTACTCTAAACCTAACATTAAAGTGTTACTAAAGTAAAAAAAGTTTTTAAATTAAAATAACAAACATGTTATACTCACCTGCTGTGTGCAGTGGTATTGTACAGAGTGGTCCTGATCCTCCTCTTCTTGAGTCCCCCACCAGCGATCTTGGTTCCTCCTCTTCTTCCTGTGTCCCCATAGCAGGCTGTTTGTTATGGAGGCACACAATGTCTGTGTGCTCCCGAGATGTGTGTCTATGGAGCCATACTCCATAGACTTACACAATGAGACTTAGCCCCGCCCCCACTTCCTCCTCACTGCATTTGATTGACAGCAGCAGGAGCCAATGCCTCACACAGGGAAGGGGGAGGACAGAAGGAAAGCAAATTATTTTTACCTTAATGCAAGGAATGCATTAAGGTAACAATCAGCTTTAGTATCAATTTACAATCTCATTTAAACGTTAACATAAACACTTTTTTTTATTTTTAATTGTAGTCTTCATGAAAATGACAGCTGGTGATACTGATATGGGGGTCCATGTTTAGGCACTGTGAGTTAAATGGGTGACAATACTTGGCTCCTATCTCCCATAATCTTCTGCCTGTAAATCACCCTACCACATGCTATCCTAAAGGAAACTATATGCTTTCAAGTGGAAGCACAGTTGTATTGAAAGTCAAATTGCCTGCAAAGGTGGTTTAAAAATCTTTTTTTTTTTCTAATGCCTTAGACCCAGCTTTCAACACTTCCAGCAGATGATGTCATCTTGCCTTATTTCTGCTTCCTGGGATAACTGGGTTCTCAACATTTTGTTAGATTGCACCCCAGTCCATTACAGGGGCATGTTCTTGCAGAATTCGATCACCCAACTATCCCAAAAGACAGTGGTGAGGTATAGTGACATAATCAGCGAAAACAAAATAATTACGGCCAGCAACAATTAGGAAATACTGTATGCCCAATGGAAAACATAAATGCAGCCTGGCATAGCTGTAAAGCATGCGAACAAGGATAGGCTGTTAAAATGCCATCAGCAGGACTGAGATGTAACAAAGGATGAAAAAAATTAAAACACCCGCTTCAATTCTGCAAGATACACTGCATTTTGCTACCTACATGACATTCAGTAAGTGTTTACATCTACTTTAACAGACTTGACAATGCCTACAAGCCCTACACTAATCTCTCCTTATGCATTATATAACTTCCTATGCTTTCTTCATCATAGCCAAAGCATGTTGTCAGTGAGGAAGATCGCTAATTCAGAAGCCAGCCCTGTTATTGGATCTTCTAAGCCAACTGACCTATGTTCAAAGGCCAGGCAGTGCATTATGGCTACTATGACAGGTTCCCTCATTATTTCACCAGGCCTGCGAACATGGAAGAATTTCCATGAATGCATGGTAGTGCTGAACTTCATCCCTACTGTCAAGATACAGAGATTGTCATGCTACTATGATCTTCAGTCCTGGGAGCCTGCAAGGGTACAGATATTGTCATACTACAAGAAAATGCCATTATTAAGAGACTATCATGCTAATTCAATGATATTGAATACCACTGGTTTATGCTCTCTATTTAAATGTATATTTGTGTTTTGATGAATATCAGTTCCTCACGTTTGACAAAGGTTGAATTTTTTTTTGGCTTTTCTCCCTATTAACAGCACAATTTAGTGAAAAGTAAAAATAACACCTTGAGACACATACAGGAAACACAACTGATCTGCTCTGGTTTTTTTATCCAGCCATCGCCATATTGCTCCAGTCCATCCATTTGGTTTTGGCGATAATCTGGGAACCATTTTTGCTTACCTATTTTTAATGCAGAAAAGGAATGCCTAAACACACCCACTGCAGACTCATTGTCCAATCAATGTGTCAACGTGTGTGTTGCGTCTGATATATGATATAAACAAGGCTTAAAATTTCAAGTCCTGAGCTACTAGCCTGGCCTTAAGAGTTACTTGCCACCAACAAACACACACAAACAGAGACACCTGTACACACACACAGACATGTACAGTACATACATACACACACAGAAACATGTACACACACACACATACAGACACATGTATACACACACTGTAACCACCATGTACAACATTTGCTGCCTTCCTTCCTTAAATAAGGGCAATAATTGCCACCTGTTTTTCAAAGAATGAATGACCTCACTAATAGAACTCCACACTGCTATTATTTTTACACAGAATCAGCAGCATGCCTGTCATGACTGTTGGGTCTGTTGGATTTATATTACTCTACTACACCTGCTAGTAATGTATTTGCCATGCAGAAATATAATTTCTACCAAAAACATTGATTGATCAGGTTAGTGATGTCTGACTGCTATTATTTTGAACACAACTGTACACACAAACACACACACACATGTACATGCATACACACACAGACACATGTACACACACACACATGCATGGACATACACACAGACACATGTACAGATACACACATGTACATAAACACAGACACATGTAAATGCATACACAGACACACACAAACACACACACATGTACACACACACACATGTACACACACACCCCTATAAAAAGTTGCAGTACTTCGTTGTTCACTCACAGAGCCGGGTACTGCACTCTAGGGGGAGGCAGATAGCACAGCACACACTCCTTCCTTTGCTTTCACTGCACTCAGCTATTGAGCAATCTGACGGCTCCCAGTGACAATGACAGATCCGGCCGGAGCTCCGAACCTGCTCAGCAAGACGGCTGTGGGGGACACACTCACCCCCACCATAATTTCCACTCGCCATTGGCGAGCAGGCGAGTAGAAATTTCAAGACCTGATATTATTGTATAGCTTGCCCATTTGACATATATGACCTATGGTATGTATGATATAATAGTGTCATCTAAAGGTTGAGTTGGGAAATGTTACACCCCTAGAAAATTAATGTAAAGGTAGTAGTGAGAAAGGGGCCATACCCATCTGGGGATGTTTAAACTTTCTAAATAAAAGGTCAGCAACAAAAGCTAAAAAGAGGACTCTATAACAACATAACAACAAGGAAGGTCTGTACCCCAGAGGGGACTTCACTGAATCAAATTAGGAATTTCACCTAGGGATTACAATAGTGCCCTACTTCCTGCAATTGTCTGTAAAGAGAGCCTGGGTTTATGGCTGCCTACGGAGATCATGAAGCGACTATAACTGTGCTAACAGGGTTTATTTTAGCATATTCCTATTGTACATTGACCATTGCTCATGCTCATTTGCTAGGCAGTTTAGATAGCATGTGCATGTGTTGTAAGTATGTCTGTCAGTCTTTTCTAAAGTTTATTCTTTTCCTGTAATTGTAAATAGTAGTGTATTCATGTGCTTTACTAAACAAAATTGCTGTAAACACAGAGGTTTTTGTTATGCTTCTTTTACTGCAAAGTCACCTTAAAAAACAAAAGAAAAACAATGCCTCAGAATAAACACATTTCTTACCATCTAAGTCTTATCAGTGCGAAAATTAAGTCCTCATGCACACTGGACGTTTTTACAGCGGCTGTTTTTGGCTTTTGAAGTTTTTTTCTACAGTTAGTAAACCCCCCAGCATGTTATCCTATGTGTCCATGCACACACAGACTGAAATCAACGTTTTATGGCAGGGACGTTTTTTGGCTGGAAAATAAACACAGGACCAGTGGGTTTCTAGAGGAGTTTCTTAGCTGTAAAAAATGCTCTAACTCTGAAAAACACAGCACAACGCGGTAAAATGCGGTAAATCGTGGCAAACCAGCGTTTTTAGACTTTTTTCGGTAAAAAAAACGCAAATGCAAAAAAATCAGCTAAACGCTAAAAACCGCTAAAAATCTCATGTTTTTAACGTGACTTTATACAGCTAACTTTACCAGCGTTATTGGTAAGTACTAGGGTTGATTCGAATCCCAACCACTGCACCACCTGCCTGGAGTTTGCATGTTCTCCCTGTACCTGTGTGGGTTTCCCTGGGTACTCCGGTTTCCTCCCACCTCCAAAGACATGCTGGTAGGTTAATAGGATCCTGTCTAAATTGGCACTTGTATGTGTATAGAATGAAGAAAACAAATTCTCTTGCACTCTATGACCCAGCCTGGGGTAGATAGATGCAGCCCAGACTTGGAAGTTTCTACCACCAGTGCATATGGGGTTGTGCAGCTCCAAACAAGGCTGGGGAAGCCCGACCAATACTGAAAAGCAAACAAAAAGCGCACCAACCTTGCGCATTACCTCTGTAAATCATGCATGTAAGTCCTCAAAGGGACTAAGGATAAAAGCAGCCTGCACGAGTCCCATCAGAGGAGTGGACACTCAGGGACCACTGACGCGTTTCGAAGGACGAACCTTCTTCATCAGAGCTTTCAGGACTTGTATGTGTATGTATGATTGTAAGTTAGGGACCTTAGATTGTATGCCCCTTGAGGGTTAGGGACAGATGTTAATGTACAACATATATGTAAAGCGCTGCGTAAATTGACGGCGCTATATAAGTACTGTACCTGAAACAAATAAATAAGACAAAAAGTAAATTTTTTAGGAACAATTAATATTTCTACATGTTCCCTGTAACATAGCATGTCTTCACGTTTTTAGTTCAAGGCCACTTTAGCCACAACTCCATCCTAGTTTAGCTGCAAAAAGCTACAAAAGAGATTGGATTACGCTTTCATTCTCAATAAGATATACACCACATTATCGCTAAGCTCAGGTGCAACTCGCTAAAAGCATTGGGAAATTATTTCCCAAAATGCCAACTGTGCAAATGATGTGAGGTTTCTTGCTCAGAATGATAGCACCAATAAAGTTGTGAAACCACCAACCCTAGCAATGCTCTTGCGTCATCTTCCTTCCTTTCTGTTCCTTGCATTGTTTCTTTCTTGCTCTTTCCTTTACAGGTTTTTAATATTTTATTGAGTGTGCCTGTACAGAATGAGCGGCTACTCTGCAGCCTATCAGCGCTTTCTCCGTCCTTCTGGCGCCACTGAGCACAGCATTGTGAAGCACGGCCGAGTCCATAACAAATTGCTGCTTGATGCTGACCCTACTGAAGCAGCTCACATTAACTAAATTTATAAGCAATCTAGAAGCTCTCAACATTTCGATAAGCTTTCCGGTGTCACGATGAAAAATGCCGAAGCTGTCTTAGCTCTGGTGTTTTTTCAGTCATTTCAGGATTTTACATGTGTTTTTTTTCATTCTCTTCTCTTTAATTTGCTATTTATCTTGCCAGAAAAGAAAAGGCTATTTAAGGTTCATAAATTGTCTCTACAACCTGCGGAAAAGCACATCACCGTCTTAAGTGCTGCAAGTTCCTTGACATCTTGTTGACATTCACAAAGGCGGTAATCACGCTTTATTTGTTTCCAGACGGCCTTCCTTGTCTTATAGCTTCAAGCATAGAAAACAAAGCTGAAAGTGAGAAACGCAATTGTTTTTCTACAATGCCCAGTAAGCACAATATATTAACCTCAGCCTTTGTGTATTAACAAATCTGAGCCCGTTATTTGGATGTCTGAACAAGCAGACAACAAAGTATATTCTGTGTACATTGGTGAAATTTCCCATCATTGTTTTAATTATGAATTTCAGACATCTGTTTCATATTCTTACTTTTTACTCTTACTTGAAGCTCAATATCTGTTATAATTCTCTTTTTTATTATTCACCTGTCCTGGGTGTAGTTTTCATGATCTGTTCTTATTGTGTATTTATGGACTCTGCACAGTACCACTTCTCTTGTTCTGTGTGCTAGATGTGATTCAACATATCTGTTCTTATTCTGAATATCTGAACCCTGCACATTAGCACTTCTCCAGTTTTGTATTTTCTAATTCTCAATATACATTCTGACTGTCTATGCTTGAACACTACACGGTTACACATCTCTTGTTCTGTATGCCGGGTATACTTCTCAATAACTTCCTTATTCTCTATGCATGGACTCTGCACAGTGCAACTTCTCATTGTGAATGCTGAGTGAAATTCCCTGCACCTGTTTTATTCGGTATACATGGATTCTGAACTATGCGGGTTCTGTTGTTCTGTATGCTGGGCATAATTCTCAGCATTTGTTCTTACTCTGTATATACAGAATGTGTACTGTATCACTTCTCTAGCTCTGTATGCTGGGTGTAATTCTCAGTATCTGTTCTTACTCTGTATACCTGGATACTGCACAGTATTATTTCTCATGCCACATCTCTTTGTTCTGTATGCTAGCTGCAAAATGTCTGCTCTCATTATTTACCTGTAGGTACCCTGTGTATGCTATAGGTATTTTTATTAGTAAATGGATACCTTAAAGGGATTGAAAACCTCTGATATATAATATGAACAAAGCATATCCTTTCATAGTCTGTAGTTGTCTCAATCCAGAGCACTAAGTGTTATTTCTTTCTTTTGCCTCATTTCTGTGCTATCTGCATGAGTCACTTCCAGGGGCGGACTGACCATTTTGGAAACTCGGGCACTGCCCGAGGGCCCAGGGTCAGTAGGGGGCCCCATTAGATGCACCTGGTACCTTTTTCATAGGCTTTTTTTGAGGTTGGGCAAGGACCAGGGGCCCCATTATCCCCGATTGCCCAGGGGCCCCATGAGCTGTCAGTCCACCCCTGGTCACTTCTGTCAAGTTTTTCTGACACCAAGAGCTAAAAAGGTGACATGGGAATGGGCTTCATGGGACTGCCAGCCTCAGCTCTGTTCCTATGTGCTATGTGAATAAGTGGTGGGAGGGGGGGTCCCTTCCCTCCAATCAGCTCTCAGAGCTCTGCTCACTGAGTGTAATTTCAGCTCCCCGACCCTTGCTTTCTGGAAGCTCAGGCAAGTTGTATAATTTCTGCAGAGAAGAGAATGCTGCATATAAACAGGTATAAGTTATGTAAGAGTATTTTTTCATTTCTGTGTTTCACCTGAGGCTAATTACTTCAGTGGGTATAGGTAAGGATTTACAACCACTTTAGGCATATACACCATGAAATTTCTGCATAGATTAGATGTATTTCTTTCTCTCAAGTCAGCCTCACTATACTTTAAAAATAGGACATTTTCTAAATGTGCCTACAGCAGATTTCAAACATGTTGCTTTTAAATTGGCCCCTTGCTTCCATCTGATGCATTTATAATATAGGTGTGTGGACTCTCGGCACAAGTTGTATGCAATGTACAACTGCTTCTTGTAAACTACCAGCACCCTTATACTAAAGAAATGACTGCACTGAGAACCATGTTGTATGGAAATTTTCTTTCTAATCTTGTCAGATAGATCAGATCACTCACCTCTCTCTGCACCCAGCATGCAGCTTATTTGTATCATGCTCAGCGAGGGAGAAGATTGCATAAGCAGAGAGATAGTGCTCTCCCTCCCCCCAGCACTATACTGCTACATCAGTAAATTAAGTACATCCATCGTTCTTCTACCACCTGCACGTGTTCTCACTGTTCCCATACTGCATATTTCATTCAAGGGTTTTTCTCCTCTGCAGCATCCATTTCTGGTTAAATGAAGCAGGATATGTAGTGATGTAGTTTATATAGTATACAAGATATAGAGTGTAATAAACTGTGGTGAGCACAAGGTGGCACCAGTGAGGGTTATGTGACCTTACTACTGCTACTGATATTTGTTGGCAAAGGGTGTGGCTGGAATGATTTTGACTCCCATTAGATGTCAACACTATCCTTTTAACATAACTTGGGCTATGCAAAAAAAAAAAATTCTAAATAGACTGTGTTGTAAAAATTTTGTTCAATACAAATGCCATACCTGTAGACCCTTTTTGTCACCCATGACGCCTGGCTGAAATATTAATAATGTTTAAATTCCAGCAT